TAATTCGTTACTATAAGTTTTTAGATTCAATAATTAATTTTCTGCTAGTATTATGTTGTTATTTACTAATTACTATATTACCTTCATTGTTTCTTTAGGAGCCAAGGCATTATCGATTAGACTTGAGCTTTCTTGCTCGATCAGGTGAATTTGATATTTGCGTTTATAATTAGATGTCACTATATAATTCATGGACATTTTCAGATTCAGTTTATGTATGAGATTAATGAAATCATGAACTGATAGTACTTCTGGAAAGAATATTCCTACTGATATCGTCCATGATATCGTTCTGGAATTGCCCGTAAAATCACTTTACGTTTTCGAGTGTGGTCAAAAATGTGTTGCAAAACTATTGACGAGGTTTCTTTTGCTATCATGCACGAATCAGCATGTGTTGAAGAACCTCAAATTGTGTATACTTCTTCCTTTTGAGGTCAACGAAGAAATTGCATTCCATGACCTATGATGAGGCTAATAATGTAATGAAGAAAAGTGAAATTCCTATCCTAGAAATTTCAGGGGACAATAGGGAAAAGAATAACTATGAACTTTGTTGTGAATATGGTTTACTATGCATTCAAAATATCACAAAATGAATTAGTTTTTTTATTAAATCCTCTAAGGGAGAAGTTTGTAGCTACCGAGGTCAACTTCAGAGTTGGGAAGATTAATTGGTGCAAGACGTCATGGTATGGAATGGGATTTGATTGTACAACTAACACATACAAGATTGTTCGGGTGATGGAAATATCTCATGCGGAATTTGATACTGAAGTTCACACTTTGGGCACAAATTCATGGCGACAAATCGGCTCAAACCCTTCTTGTATTCTAAGTATATGTGGGTGAATGCATATGGGATATGCATTGGTTGCGTTCTAATTTAAAACAACGTATAGAATAAGAGACGATGATAATCTTTTGATTTCAAAGGAGGAATTCAAGTGGATTCGTTATCCGAATTTAAAGTACTGCACATAAGTCTTGTATAAAGTTCCGTTAATTAATCTGAGAGGATCCCTAGCTATTGTCAATGTTCTCCCTTTAACGAGATGGAGATATGGGTGATGAAAGATTATGATAAGAAAGAGTATTATTGGGTAAGAGAATTTAGATTTAGTGATGTTAATATAATCATTTAATAATCGACATGGGTTTACTGAAAACTTTGGTGCTTGGGGCCACCGAGGTTTATATGTCGATACTTATCCCAATAAAAATCATGTTATTGATCTTAAGAAAAATCAGATGGATTACATTGATAAAAGATTTGCATTCTGCAAGAGGATTATACAAACGGCAGAGTGAACCAATCGACTCCAAAATGTGTTGCAAAACTATTGACGAGGTTTCTTTGTATCATGCACGAATCAGCATGTGTTGAAGAACCTCAAATTGTGTATACTTCTTCCCTTTTGAGGTCAACGAAGAAATTGCATTCCATGACCTATGATGAGGCTAATAATGTAATGAAGAAAAGTGAAATTCTTATCCTAGAATTTTCAGGGGACAATAGGGAAAAGAAAACCTATGAACTTTGTTATGTTGAATATGGTTTACTATGCATTCGAAAATATCGACAACATGAATTAGTCTTTTATTAAATCCTCTAACGGGAGAAGTTTGGAGCTACCGAGGTCAACTTCAGAGTTGTGGAAGATTAATTGGTGCAAGAAGTCGTGGTATGGAATGGGATTTGATTGTACAACTAACACAATACAAGATTGTTCGGGTGATGGAAATATCTCATGCGGAATTGATACTGAAGTTCAACTTTGGGCACAAATCATGGCGACGAATCGGCTCAAACCCTTCTTGATTCTAAGTAATTGTGGGGTGAATGCATATGGAGTGCATTGATTGCGTTCTAATTTAAAGCAACGTATAGATACGAGACGATGATAAGATCTTTTGATTTCAAAGAGAGGAATTCAAGTGGATTCGTTATCCGAATTTAAAGTATTGCACATAAGTCTTGTATAAAGGTTCCGTTAATTAATCTGAGAGGATCCCTAGCTATTGTCAATGTTCTCCCTTATAACGAGATGGAGATATGGGTGATGAAAGATTATGATAAGAAAGAGTATTATTGGGTAAGAGAATTTAGATTTAGTGATGTTAATATAAATCATTTTAGTTCATATCGACATGGGTTTACTGAAAACTTTGGTGCTTGGGGCCACCGAAGTTTATATGTCGATACTTATCCCAATAAACATCATGTTATTGATCTTAAGAAAAATCAGATGGATTACATTGATAAAAGGATTTGCATTCTGCAAGAGGATTATACAGACGGCAAGAGGGATGTCTATAGTTATACCAGGAGTGTTATTCGTCTTAAAAACTTTGGCAACCCCGTTGCAAATCATTCTTATAATTTCCTCAAAACAGCCCGCAACATCTATGTTTCCCCTCGATAATTATGAGAATTTAACTTTCACATTCTCCAGACAGTTCGTCATATTTATGTTTCGCCTAATGAAACAAACGATGGTGACCATTAGAATTTTAGTTTTGTTTCCTTGTTTCTTTTGACTATGCTGTAATGAATGATAGATATTTTTCTTAATTTTAATTGTATTTTCCTTTTTCAATTGTTGAAACTCGTACAAACAATGGCGAATTGCATGTGTATGAGTTCATATAGAGTTTTAAAGGAATCAAAACTCAAAACTTTTTAAATTCTAATTATAATCAGTTTTTAATATTATAAAATTTCAGTATCACCTTTGCTAAAAATTGAAAAGGATAAATTCACCCCTCTTATTCCTTGCCCATCTTCAAACTAATCGTCAAATTACCACCTATCATCGCCACACACCACTGTGACCATCGAGTGAGAGTCTCCTTCTCCTCATCTTCGTCACTGATTGGTATTCATTTCATGATCGGTTAGTTTTCGGTTTTGCTTTTGTTTATGGCTTGTTTAAGTTAGATTCTTGGTTGATCGTGGAGAGTTTTAGAGCAAGGAATCAGGGAAAAAAACGAATATTTTCTTTTGCTCTATAAAGTAAATTTGAATCTCGAGAATTTCCGAATAGTTGTTCAAAGACTATGTTTGTTTCCATGGAAAATACTAAATTTATAATCAAAGATGCAAGCTGAGGTTTGGCATTGAGTTTAAGACTGTAGAATTTGATTGTCTAGTGACTGATTTTCTCAGCTACCAAACAGAACCTCAGATTTAGTGATAATTACTGATTGATTTCGTTTAATATTTGTCTTGTTTATGGTTATATGCTCAAATGGATTGGTTTTTTCAGATTGAGTTTACGATATTAATGGAAATCACCAACTGCCCGAGTACTTCTGGGAAGAACAAGCAGCAGTGCTATGGTAATTTTCCTACTCATATCGTTGTCGATATCTTTTTGAGGTTGCCCGTAAAATCGCTTTTGCGTTTTCGATGTGTGTCGAAGATGTGGTGCAGCATTATCGACAGTGTTTCTTTCGCTAACATGTACGAATCAGCACGTGTTGAAGAGCCTCAAAATTCTTTATAGTCCTCCATATTTGAAGTTGGTGAAGAAATACCATTCCATTACAAACGATGAGGCTAATTATGCAATCAAGAAAAGTGAAATTCCTATCCTAGATTTTTCAGAGAAGAGGGAAAAGGAGGACTATAAACTTTGTTGTGTTGCTTATGGTTTATCATGCGTTCGAGTCATACAAATGTGTGTTGAATTACATCAACAACATGAATTAGTCTTTCTATTGAATCCTCTCACGGGAAAAGTTTTAGAGCTACCAAGTGTAACAAATCTCACATTGGATGCATATTGGGGAGGTCCTGAACTTATAAATGGGAGGAGTTTCTCCACCTAGGTTAGCTTTTTTAGGTGTGAAACTCTCAGTCCGTGACAAGTGGTATTAGAGCAGATCTGATCCGTCTTTCGATGTCCTGCCAAGTGTCCAAGTAGGGGCGTTCACATGTGATTGTAGATCCACACGAGAGTGAGGTGGACGGGTAGGTAGGGGGCCTCACCTATGACGAGGGTGTCACATGATTAAGTGGGGGAGAATATAACGAATCCCACATCGGAAGCGTATTAGAGAGGTCCTGGGCTTATAAATGTGGAGAGTTCCTTCACCTAATAGGTTAGTCTTTTGAGTGTAAAACACCCAGTCCGTGACATGAGGCCAATGGCAGGGCTATTGAAGACCGATGGTATGTGGAAGGAATTGTTGTATGGAATGGGATTTGATTGTACAACTAACACAGAAAAAGTTGTTCGGGTGCTTAGTATACGAAACACGCAATTCGAGACTCAAGTTTACACTTTGGGCACGAATTTGTGGTGACGAATCTCCTCAAACCCCTCTTGTATTCTAAGTTCTTGTGGAGTGAGTGCATATGGAGATATGCATTGGATGCCTTTTTTTCTTAGGAGGGAATTCAAGTGGACTCGTCATCCAAAATTGGAGTACTATGCCGATTTGCATAAAAAAAATTCGTTGATTAGTTTGAGAGGATCGCTGGCTATTGTTAGCATATGGGTGCTGAGAGATTATGAGAAGAAAGACTACTATTGGTATTGGGTAAGAGAATTCAGATTAAATACTGGTGTTATAAGACCTGATGATATAGCTTATTGGCAAAGTTTTGGGACTATAATGGAAAACTTTGGTGCCTGTGGACATCGAGGTTTATTTTTTGACACTTTTCACCATGGGCATTATGTTATCGATCTTCAGACGAATCATATACAACACATTAATGAATGCATTCCGCCAGAGGATTATAATTCTGGTGTACTGGATGGTTTAACTTTTAAAAGGATGGTCAACAGTTATACAAGGAGTGTTCTTAGTCTTAGAAACTTTGGCAACCCTATTGCAAATCATGGCGATCATACTTACAACTTTCTCAAGAGAGTTCAGAGTGTTTATGTTAATTTGTAATCAATAATGGATATGTTAATCTTTTTCTTAATTTGTGGTAATTTATTTTGGTTATCTTTTTTTTTTTTTTTTGTATACTTCATACAATATTTAATAATCAAAGCATTAAATTGCATACCAAACCTCAATCATCCTAGTTATGTACAAAGGCCGGAAGCCTAAAAGATATAAACATTGCCAAACCCAGAAAAGGGAACTGAAACAAGTGATTCCTGAGCAAACTTTCAAAGTGGTTCAAGCATGAGATATAAGTCGGAAATGTCATAGAAATTAGACCTGGCTAAAACCATCGCTGTTCAGTCGAACCCTCAGGGTCAGATATATCAATATTAAGGTCCCCAAGCTTGACCTGACACCAGAGAGAAAATAAAAAGATGGTTAGTCTTAACTGGCTGCTAAAGAAAGGATTGGTAAAAGATGTTAATGGCATTTTAGAGCTAAGTCAAAAGGATGCGACATTATGCATAGGAAGGTGTAGTCTCAGATCATCCCATAGGTATATGCAGTTTGCTTGAGATTCTAGAGCTTACAATATAGAGAATAGGAGGACAACTTTTCTTGAGTCGAATGAGGCAGCACGTCTATATCTTCTCCATCTATTAATTGGTGCATCATGAATCCTCTCGGTCGGTGATTTATCTGTTGAAACAAACACTAGTTTAGTTAGTTGTCAGCACAGTTTAATTGGCATAAGTTGCAAAGCAGTGACCAAAATATTTGATAAATGTATCACTTATACAGAGGGGATTGATACAACATGAGACATGAGTTTTTTGAAGATAGTATGCAGAAATTAAGGAGCCTAAGAAATCCAACATAAGTGAATTTCAATATGTTGGATTTCAGGCTGTCAGAGAAGAAGGTAACGAGCAATCTAGGAAGAAACTGCCGGGACAGAGAGGGCAATTCCAAGCAGAGCAGCCATACGGAGACCTACAGGCTTTGATGACACATGTGACAGAGACAATTATATCTGGAAGCAAGGCTGTAAGGCAGAGTGAACCAATAAAGATCACCTTGGTTTGCATAGGGATATAGTTCCATGCAATGTAGTAACCACACACCTGTTGTCTATTTGTGAGTTTGAAAGTGCCCGTGCATGTGTGTGCATTAGCCAAAATTATACTGGGATTATGAATGTCATGTAAAGTTCTTTCCTCGGGTTTGATCTTGTAATTGAGAAGTCATGGAAGGGCTTATATTCTATAATGAAGAACATTCTAAGTGAAAGTAAAAATTATCAAAATTTGCAAGAATTTTCCATAATTATTCAAAAAAATCTAAAAATTCTCACCTATATTTAAGCTTGCTTGCCTCTGCAACACCTTTTGCATATGCTGCAAGCCAACAAGTAACTAAAATTATAAAAAGAAGAGAAAAGTACAAAGACTACCAACAATTAAGAAAAATAAGCAATCACTTGAAGATTATGTTTTTCCAAACTTTTCCAGACCACATCTAACACTGATATAAGAATGATTCCTCTAAGTCCACACAATATGCAGAAAAGGAAAAAAGACTTACATTTATCGTGCCCTCACTTTTTATACTGCCGACAATTTCATCATTGGATTTAAGTGGTTCCAAATTTTCCTTATCAATGTTAATGTCCACAATACAAGATTGATAAGCATCGGTACTTTTCATCGGTAGATTGATGCAGTTTTGAAAATCCAGTTGGTCATCCAGGCACATCTGATTTTTAGATGGAAAAGGAACTTCAACAAAGCTCAAAAAAGCTAACTGTGATGTACATTCTGGACTGGTGACGTCTTCCTCAGGCAACACTGAAATGCCATACACATCTTGAACCTGCACATACAAAAATCAAGTTCATAGAACTATAGAGTTTCCAACTTCAGACAAGGTATTCATTTGGAGGAAAGTACACAAATACCAAATTAAATTGAGACACAATCATTTAGGATGGAGAATTCTTACCAAAGTTTTGACAGATTAAAGAGAGCCTAGTTATAAGGTTATGGTAGTTCAAAGATGCAGGAAGGAAATTGAAATGAAAAACAGGGATTGATTTTCAAGCAAGCATTAACATTGTGGCTTGTGGCCAGTACTATAGCAGATTTATGTTGTTGCTTAAGGCAAACACAGATTTATGTTGTTGCTTAAACCAAACACAGATTTATGTTGTTGCTTAAACCAAACACAGAAGTTACAAGTTCAAAAAAAGAAATTGAATTTCCATGTACAACTATAAGGTCATCGGTTGCTTCAATCAAATTTTTTGAAGCATCAAGTTCTCACTCAAAATACGAGGATCCAATTACACAAAGAACAAAGTAAAGCATGACATCTTCAGATGAACTTACATTTGAACAGCGAACAGTGATGATTAAGTAAATTAAGTAAAGCATAACATTAAGATGAACTTACATGTGAACAGTGAGGAAGTAAAGGATGCATATTAAGATGAACTTCCATGTGAACAACGAAAAGTAAAGGATGCCATATTAAGATGAACTTACATGTGAACAACGAAAAGTAAAGGATGCCATATTAAGATGAACTTACATGTGAACTGTGAAAGGGACACTTTTCCCTTACTGGAAATGAAGCTTCCTCAATTACAATAGGCAAAACATCTGAAATTTCAGATCAAAGAGAATCCACTAAACAACTAATAGAAGAATGCATATTGAATTACATAAGTGACTTAAGTAAAGCACCATTACCCAGAGAACAGTGATGATTGACCTCATCAAAACTTGGCTTAAGTAACTGGAAGCATGAACAGCTGACAGGTAGATTGTTATTTGCATCCATTATGCCAGGGAAGTATGGTTTTTCCTAGAATCAATTGTGTTAAAAGTTGATTGTGCAAAAAGAGAGCACGCATAACCCACCATTAATTCGTTTAACTAGCATAGAACTGTATGATTACAACATCATACTAAACAGATGCTTCTTGGAAAGTTCAGTAATAATCTATATCAATAAATGTATTTAAATCAAAACAAAAACAAGACCAATCCACCGTCCATACCCATGGTCTTCTTAATTGATACTATCATTATCATTAAAATAGGAAAATACTAGCAGATTCCAAAACAAATTTTATATATATATATATATATATATATATGAGAGGGAGAGAGAGAGTGGATAAACATAGACAATAAAGGATACCAAATTCAAAAAAAGAAAATGAACCAAGAATAAGTTGGGCTGATACCCATGTCAATCTTTAGCAGAGTTGCTTTCTGAAAGCATTTTGACGTAAAGTTGATTAGCTAACTCCTATTAAATCTGATCTTTTGATCCTTTTTTTAGTGGTTGAAATTTCCTAATAGTCACAGTCAGGGCTTTACACATCAACACACCAAATTCTCTCCATCACTAGATAAAATAAAATGATTTGTCTTCCAAGCTAGATCCAGAAAAATTGAGGAAGAAAATCCAAGATAGCAGCAATTTGTGTATGCTAAAACCAAAATAAAATAAATGCATTAGATAGCTAAAGAGAATTCTACTATTTTTAATCCTTGTTTTCTGTATGAATTGAGTAAATATTATTACAAATTAAACACTAATAAAAACATTTAAAAAAAAAAGTCTTTAGTTCGTTGACATGTTAAGAAAATAGAAACTCAAGGTTCTATCCTTTCCTTTTCCACATTTTCTCAGCAATCAAATAAATAAAAATAAATAAAATTTAGGAAAAAATAGAAGTTCCACATCAACCATAGATAACTACAAACTAAAATTCCAAAAAAAAAAAAAAAAAAGGAACTTTCAACAGCATGCAAACCAAGAATACACAAATACAAGCCGAACTTCCACATCAGCTTCCGTACACAAACACTTCAATTTCTCACATTTTCTCATCAACCAAACCAAAAAAAAAAACATACTTTTTGTCTGAAAATTAAACTCTCTTTCACCATGCAAATCAGGAATAAAATAAGTAAACAGCAAAACTTCCACATCAGCCAGCCAAAACAACAAACACTTCAACTTCTCATCACTTCATCCACATTTTCTCATCGTTTTCTCAGCAGCCAAACAGAAAACAGTAATGATCTGACTCTAAACCACTAGCAACCACTAAAACCGCGCGTAATCGAACTATTCACCGCAAATTACACACACATTGCTAAAAAGAGATGAATACCTCAAACGAAACCAAAACGAGGTCGTTTCTGACGAAATACGAAATTAGGCTCGTTTAGAAGAGAAAGAGAGCGATTAGTAAACTCGAACGAATATAAATTCTCACCTCGTCGCATGAATTGGCCGCCATTGGAGAGAATTTGTGAAGAGTATATAAGAAGAGTGAAAGAAAGAGAGAGAAGGAAGAGTGAAGTTTTCGAGTTCCAGAAAATAGAAATTTGAAAAATTAAAATAAAACTGAAAGAACGACGTGGCATAAAGCCTCTGACTTGGACAATCGCAACAACGCCAAATCTTCTTTATATTTTTATGATTAAAATGCCTAAAGTGCCCTTCCTCTCTATGCTTTTCTTCTCATTTTATTTATTGAATGAATTAAATTTATCTTATCTTAATTTTAATTTAATTTTTGCTCCCTCTAATTAATCTCGTTCATTAATGGATTCAAATTGAGAGACCAACATTTATCCTCTGCACTTATTTAATTACAAATATTTAAGACAAGCTCCAACACCATTAAAGACGCCAATTTAATATAAATAAATATAAGATTATTTATTTATTTTAGTGATTAATGTCACATTAGATATACTTTATGGAAGGCATTTTTATATAAATTATGAAAGTATCTTAAAGTTCTATAATCTTTTTCATGAATTATAATCTTCCAAAAATTTGTCATTAATTTAAGTTTTTATTAGGAATACATTAGACATATCTAATCCGCTTGAGAGTTCAAAAGTAATTTACCTTCATCTAATCTTGGCCGTTTTTCAAATAATTTGAATTGATAAGGTGCCGTTTGATGTAAAATTTAATCGTAGAAGTGAAGGGCAAAAGAGGAAAAGAAAAAATTGAGAGATAATAAAATAGAAATCGATGTACTAGATTTTGTCCGGTTGTCTCCAATGAGGTGCATGTGAATCTACAAGTGAAATAAAAAAATAAAAAGAGGAGTCACGGGTCTTCTTGTTCCTATTCCAAACTCTTGTTTTTCTCAATTCCACCCCTGATTTGCCAATCATCTTCCCACTATTTTGACCCACATTTTACAATGACCCCCCTACCATAACATAGTTAACATGTGATTTTCTTCCTTTCTCCCATCTTGGTAATGGTACCCACATCCACACTTTCTGTGGATTAGAGAGGGTAATTTGGGAATTTTGTAACATATGTTTTAGTGACGTTGAGTCCGTTCAAGGTTTTGAATCTGGGAATTTGATTCTTCAAATCATACTGTAATACAAGGTGTTAATGTTCGTTCAGATTCTGAATCTTTGAATTTGATTATTGGGATTATATTGTATTATATACCCAAAGGATTATAGTAAAATATATAATACTATACATGTAAAGTTGAGATCCAAACTTTATATTTCATTCCATGTAGCAGTCAATTTGTTGATATATTCTCGATTATAAAATAATGAAATAAGTAAATTAACTTATCAAATCAACCGTTACATTAGTTAAAAGTGTAACATTACCTATTTTATAAAATCATTCAGTAACGTTATTAGGCAGTTTCAATTTTGAATCCATTATTACGATTATACTACAAATAAAGAAGGTAATATTATCCTCTTATAACAACCTTTGAATCGAGGTCTAAGAGTCATCCACACTTTGATCCAAAAGCCACAATAGAAAGGGAAAGTTACCCTCTTTAGGGTAGCATAATTCTCATTCTAGAGGGTTATAAGTGTAACCACCATTAAACTAGGATGATATAATGGAACTTGATTTAAGAGAGATTAATGTTCTTATTACTATTATGGAGCCAACATCCCAATAAATATCATTTATGTTATTTGTATGTTTGTCCAACAAAAATATGTGACATTATTGACTTCTTTTGCATAATTGACAAAGACATTGAACATTTTACTCACCATACCACCTCCATACTTTGCTCACTTTTTTTTTTCATGTTTTTTTATAATATATAAACTATATAATAAAATAAATAAATAATTTTATTATAAAGTTGTTGGAAATTTATCTTTATAAATAATAGAAAAAATTGATAGATCTTGATCAAGGTGTGATGTACCAACTTGAATATTTAAATAGAAATTGAAAAAAAAAAAATTTATGGCAACAACAGACAGAGGATATTAATTTTATTAATAAGTGCACCCATTTGTGAGTTGTAGTATGTACGAATGCCAACAGATGAAACAGCTTTAGAAATTGCTTGGCAGGAATGTTTTGGGCTTCCTTCGATGCATTGGATGCCTTTTTTCATAGAGGTAACCATATGAGACGATGATTGTGTCTTTCAATTCAAGGAAAAAATTCAAGTGGACTCGTCATCCAAATTGAGTACTCTGCAGATTTGCATAAAAATATTCATTGATTAGTTTGAGAGATCCCTGGCTATGTTAGTATATGGTGCTGAAAGATTATGAGAAGAAAGACTACTATTGGGTAAGAGAATTCAGATTATCTCTGGTGTTATAAGACCTGAGATATAGCTTATTGGCAAAGTTCTGGGACTATAATGGAAAACTTTGGTGCCTGTGGACATGAGGTTTATTTTTTGACACTTTTCACCATGGGGATTATGTTATCGATCTTCTGACGAATCATATACAACACTTAATGAATGCATTCCGCCAGAGGATTATAATTATGGTGTACTGGTGGTTTAACTTTTAAAAGGATTGTCAACAGTTATGCAGGAGTGTTCTTAGTCTTAGAAACTTTGGCAACCCTATTGCAAATCATGGCGATCATACTTGCAACTTTCTCAAGAGAGTTCAGAGTGTTTTTGTTAATTTGTAACCAATAATGGATATGTTAATCTTTCTTAATTTGTGGTAATTTATTTTGTTATCTTTTTTTTTTTTTTTATACTTCATACAATATTTATAATCAAGCATTAATTGCATACCAAACCTCAATCACATATAGTACAAAGGCCGGAAGCCTAAAAGATATAACATTGCCAAACCCAGAAAAGGGAACTGAAACAAGTGATTCCTGAGCAACTTTCAAAGTGGTTTAAGCATGAATATAAGTCGAAATGTCATAGAAATTAGACCGTCCTAAAACCATCGCTGTTCAGTCGAACCCTCAGGGTCAGATATATCAATATTAAGGTCCCCAAGCTTGACCTGACACCGAGAGAAAATAAAAAGATCGTTAGTCTTACGGCTGCTAAAGAAAGGATTGGTAAAAGATGTTATGGCATTTTAAGCTAAGTCAAAAGGATGCGACATATGCATAGGAAGGTGTTAGTCTCAGATCATCTCATAGGTATATGCAGTCTGCTTGAGATCTAGAGCTTACATATAGAGAATAGGAGGACAACTTTTCTTGAGTCGAATGAGGCAGCACGTCTATATCTTCTCCATCTATTAATTGGTGCATCATGAATCCTCTCGGTCGGTGATTTATCTGTTGAAACAAACACTAGTTTAGTTGTTGTCAGCACAGTTTAATTGGCATAAGTTGCAAAGCAGTGACCAAAATATTTGATATTTATCACTGATACAGAGGGGACTGATACACATGAGACATGAGTTTTTTGAAGATAGTATGCAGAAATTAAGGAGCCTAGAAATCCAACATAAGTGAATTTCAATATGTTGGATTTCGCTGTCAGAGAAGAAGGTAACGAGCAATCTAGGAAGAACTGCAGGGATAGAAGGGCAATTCCAAGCAGAGCAGCCATACGGAGACCTACACTTTGATGACACTTGACAGAGACAATTACATCTGGAAGCAGCTGTAAGGGAGAGTGAACCAATAAAGATCACCTTGGTTTGCATAGGGATATAGTTCCATGTAATGTAGTAACCACACACCTGTTGTCTTTTTCTGAGTTTGAAAGTCATGGCAGGGCTTTATTCATAATGAAGAACATTCTAAGTAAAGTAAAAATTATCAAAATTTGCAAGAATTTTCCATAATTATTCAAAAAAATCTAAAAATTCTCACCTATATTTAAGCTGCTTGCCTCTGCAACACCTTTTGCATATGCTGCAAGCCAACAGTAACTAAAATTATAAAAGAAGAGAAAGTACAAAGCTACCAACAATTAAGAAAAATAAGCAATCATTGAAGATTATGTTTTTCCAAACTTTTCCAGACCATCTAACACTGATATAGAATGATCCTCTAAGTCCACACAATATGCAGAAAAGAAAAAAGACTTACATTTATAGTGTGCCTCACTTTTTTTACTGCCGACAATTTCATCATTGGATTTAAGTGGTTCCAAATTTTCCTTATCAATGTTAATGTCCACAATAACAATTGATAAGCATCTGTACTTTTCATCGGTAGATTGATGCAGTTTTGAAAATCCAGTTGGTCATCCGGCACATCTGATTTTTAGATGGAAAGGAACTTCAACAAGCTCAAAAAAGCTAACTGTGATGTACATTCTGGACTGGTGACGTCTTCCTCAGGCAACACTGAAATGCCATACACACTTGAACCTGCACATACAAAATCAAGTTCATAAAACTATGAGTTTCCAACTTCAGACAGGTATTCATTTGGAGGAAAGTACACAAATACCAAATTAAATGAGACACAATCATTTAGATGGAGAATTCTTACCAAGTTTTGACAGATTAAAGAGAGCCTAGTTAAAGGTTATGGTAGTTCAAAGATGCAGGGGAATTGAAATGAAAACAGGGATTGATTTTCGCAAGCATTAACATTGTGGCCAGTAACTATCACATTTATGTTGTTGCTTAAACCAAACACAGAAGTTACAAGTTCAAAAAAGAAATTGAGTTTCCATGTACAACTATAAGGTCATCGGTAGCTTCAATCAATTTTTTGAAGCATCAAGTTCTCACTCAAAATACGAGGATCCAATTACACAAAGAACAAGTAAAGCATGAAATCTTAAGATGAACTTACATTGAACAGTGAACAGTGATGATTAAGTAAATAAGTAAAGCATAACATTAAGATGAACTTACATGTGAACAGTGGAAGTAAAGGATACATATTA